TTCTTTCTTTCTTCATCCTTAGTCGTCTCGTATTCGTCCTTCCTCTCATTGCGGGCGTTGTTATCGTGTCCTTCGATTCAATCTTTGGTTTGCGGTTATTTACCAAATATCGTTTCGAGTGCATTAACGTAGAGAATGAGCGAGAGTGCATCCGGTCGAAGGGATCCATTGAGCGTGAAGGGCGTGAGATCCTGCCGACCGCAGGGACCAGCCAAAACTGGTGTAATTGCAAGGACATAGGTCTTCCCTCAGTCCAGCACAAAGAAATAGATTATAATTTCCTTTGGAAACCTGCTGAAACACTGCCAGCTACAAAACTAATTACCTCCACATCGGAGGAGAGAAAATAGGGAGGCCGAATAATAATGATAATAATGAAGGAACAGCTCTCTTTATCTCTCTCTCTCTGTCTCGTTCTCTGCATTATGTTTTTCATTTCCTCAGACCAATTATACTACTTTTATATAATACACTGTGAGCAAAAGACGCGCAAATAAACGAAATCACTAAACGTCCGGGCAAGGAACACGGCCATCCTCTCTCGGTAATTAAATATAAATTATCTTTACATTTACTATTATCTCCGGCAACGGCTTTTTGCCCGTCTCACAATTCATTTCGAAAACAATTATGCTGAGACTTTAAGGCATTTCACCTCCGGCGACAAAACGTTTGATAAACTACCCTATACTAACTACAAACATAAACAGTAACAACAAATTTCAAACATAACAAAAATACTAAAACAATTTACAATCCCAACACAAACTATGAATCATCACAATATTTCATTTATTTCATCACTTTGCACACATAGAATAGTTATATTATATTTCTTTAAATAAATATAACATTTTCTTTGACATAAAAAGATTAAATATTTTTTACATAAATTGTACATTTTAAATCAACTATAGAACTATAAAAATCAATTAAATTAATAACATTTTACAAAACTTTATTACACGTAGTTATTTCAATTTTTTTTATATATTAATTTCTCTATATAAATTAAATAAATGTAAACCTAACGATTCATAAAATACACATATTGAATCTACATCAAAACCGTTTTTATGTGCGCAATTTATTATATAAAAAACATAAAACTGTACCAACAAAAGCGACATTATTAACAGCGAATCGATGATATTTTTTTTTTGTTCATGTTTCGGTCGATTTCGTTTATGCCTCCATTAATCTGCATATTGTGCCTTTAAAACTGCGCGCAGATTGCACCAATACTCGCTTTCATATTCCTCCATTTCTTTTTACGCATTCCCAATAAATTGACGACCGATCAAAGCGCAACGCTGCGTTTGAATGTTTTCCCTTTGATTACACTTCATTGAAATACTTAATCTCCGTTCAATATTTACAGGTATGTCATTAAAATACATTTCATAGTTTTTTTTTTCATTGAATATGTACACAATTTTTGATTATTTTTAGTATTAATATGCACATTATTTGGACCATAAGACGCACCATAAATTTGGAAATAATCATCAGCTTGATTAATATTTTTTGTCATAATGATAGTTAAATACAGTTTTTTTAATAGTTTAAATTATATAAATAATAATAATAAGGACCCAACTGATAGTAAAAATATTCATTGCTTTGCATATCTAATATAATAATGATA